TAAAGAATTAGCCGTGAAGTTTGCTTCTCGGAAAACATGCTGGAAGGAAATTTCATCACAGTAAGAACTTAGCAGCTTAATGTCTTGTACCAAGAGTTGAATACTCCACGGGACAGAAACCTTGTTGTTGATATAGTCAATGATGAGCTTGGAATCTCCTTCAACTAAAACTTTGCGCCATCCATTGTGGATTGCATGGGCTAGACCATCACGGAGCGCCAGGCATTTAGCCACAGTTATTGAAACTTGACCAGAGTTTTTAGCTCATGCGAGTCGGACGTTACCATTCCAATCCCGGATGACGAAACCAGTGGCAGCCAGGTTACCACGCACCGAGCCATCAAAGTTTAACTTTATCCAATCAAGGGGTGGTGGTTTCCATTTAATTGCATGCACACCTTTGGGATTCAGAGGAGGAGTGGAGTTGATTTTCCAATAGTCTAGACCAATCTAACCAGCAGCATGAAGAGCTCTAACTGGATGCGGAGCAATGTCTTTAAACACACAATTATTCCGAGCCTCCCAAATTTGCCACCAAAGAAGGAGAGCTTTGGAAAGAATATTTGGGCCATCCTTATCCATCAAGTGAGGGAGAGCATCCAGCCATTCAATACCATCAAGATTCTGTTGGAGAGGCAAAGGGCTTATAGAGGTGCACCTCCACATGTTGATAGCAAACTGGCATTCAAAAAATAAATGGTTAATAGTCTCCATGTGATCAGTACACAGAGGACATTCAGGATTGATATTCGGCAAGTATCTGTGTAAATGATAAAAGAACAAGTATGGGAATGGATACGGAGAATTTTTTGGGTATGGTGTTCGGAGAGGGGCATGGATGGTATTTTAATCCCCTACTCAAACCCTCTCCGTCTAGAATATATATAAAATAAATATGATATTAAAGTGATCAGTCCTGTTGGACCACTGGAGTCCATGAAATTGTGGTCACCCACCGTTGGATATTAATCCAATTGTTCAAAAAAAAATTTAAAAAGGAGTGCAAGAGTGAGTGAACCGTTGAATTTACATCCAACCGTGAGTGACCACAAATCTCTTGGACCCTTGTAGTCCAAGAGATCGGGACTGTTAAAGTGATTGTGCCAACTAAATTTTAAAATTTAAATTATTGTATTATATATTTATATAATTTATACAAATCTTAAGCCACATTACTTATATATTTAGTTAACTTCCAATTAATATGTAAACATTCTTATACATAAATATTATATATATTCATTATCTTGTCTTAATTATATAATTTTTTTCTTTCAACAAAATAGTTTTATACTGATTTTTTCTTCTATAATGGGGCGGTCGGGGAACTCATTTCCCAACGAAGGTGGGGATGAAAAGTCTCCGATATGAATATTATTGGTATGAAGACGAGAATGAAGAAAAAAAACTTAATAGAGATGCGGATGGGAATGACATACCCACCCCCAATTTGACGTATTACCATTCCTATTGAAAATGTGGCTTAACCAAAAGGGTGGGTAAAAAGTAGTTGGTAACTCCAATCCACAGTGACAATCTTTTCCCAGTTACGTTGCTTTTTGTTTAATTGGAAATTTAGATATTGGGTTAGCAAAAGTAGGGGGTTGAAAACTGAAGCCGGTCGATCTCGAACTTTTCGGTAATGCGGAGGGGTGGGGACAACTGGACCGGCGCAAAAGAATAATAACGTAGTTTACTTGAAAGCGAGGGGTTTGCCTTTGTAAAGTTGAAGGATTCTAGTTCCTGACTTTCACGTTGGTTTTCGGACATCTCTGTTGTATACTCTTAATCTTATGGTGTTATAATAAAGCATCTTTTTCAAAACAAAAAAAACAAAAAAAAAAATGAATGACCCAAAAAAGGGTCCACAAAAATGGTATAGTATAGTAGTAGCCAAATTGGACATCAATGTGATGTGAGTGATGGAAGCTATTCGTTTATTAGTTGCTCATATAGTCAGTCTCTCATGGAATGGGACGGGATCAAATTGCTTTTCTTCAAAGTTCAAAGTTCAAAGTTCAAAGTTCAAACTAACTAATTATCCATTAATTTTCTCAGAAATTAATGTCACAAAACCAGTCCAAGACGGCATATTAATTATGAACATTAGAAGAAGTTTTACTCGTCCCAATAAGCATTGCATATAAACTTTTGATTATTAGTCCAGTCCAATCCATTATAATAGGGGATGTTTGTGGTTGCAAAGCAGTTTGGGACTTGGCCGCCCATCCTGGGTAAATGGAGACAAATTGATTTTGGATCTTCCAGTAGGGACAAGTACTGATTTTGTATTGTCCAATCCACTCTCCAGTAGAGAGGAGACCAGAGAGTAGAAAAAGCCACTATGATATGATGAATTAGCATTTAGTACAATGCTAGACTGGATGCCACTGATGACTGCATCCACTCTTTTTTTTTGGTGACTGGAATCCAGACCACATTGTTCTGTCATTGACTCATTGAGAAAAAAGAAGAAGAAAAAAAGGATCCTGAAATATACAGCTACAACAATAGCTCCAAGTTTACCAAACATGGAATGCTTCATCAATTCACTGTTTTGAAAACAACAGGTTCACTCACCCACAGTAAATAGGTTGAATTGAAAGTAATTCACCAAAGTCAAAAAAGGAAGAATTTGAAAGGTAAATTAAGATCACCATGATTCATTTCATATTCATGTCATAGAGGATGCCACGTATGCCTAGCCACTGGCCACTGTAGGTAATATGTATTTTGTAAGGCATGGTAAATGACAAAGACTGGCACTAGTTGTGAAGTGCAATCAAAGTCGGTTCCGATAATATTTTCGTCACTTTCCCTGGAATCACATCATTTTTTTTTTTAGGAGATTCTTCGTACAACTTTTGGTTAACATACACTAAGAAAACTTTAATGCTTTTGGGATTCTCCTTACTCATCCATGGAGCTAGTAAACAGGTTACGTTTTGGTAGGTTTCAATTTGGGGGTTCTTTCAAACCCGGGCAGGTAAGAAACTACCTAATCCCCAAAAACATTTGTCATAAAATTTTATTTTTTATCGACTAAGAAGGAAAAATACTTGACTTCTTCTTCGTCGTCTTCTTACACTGTAAGGAGCCGAGCAGTGTTCTTAAAGAAATGCATATTAACAAAACCATGAGACCTACCCTAAGCTATGTTATCTACTAATAGGCCTATAAACACACAGAATAAAAGGAAAGTAAACAAATATACTCAACTAAACCGAGCTTTAGGTTAATGAAGGTGCTAAAACGGTGGATGGATGTGCTTTTTCCATATGGAACACATTTTAACCTGACTAAAATATTAGACATTTCAGGAAAACATGGGAGTCCTCATCATCTCCCAGTTGTCGTTTGGTACCGGCCTTCCATGGCCGCTTTCGGCAGCTAACATCACCAAATATTAAATTCTAGACTACGTACTGTCAACTTGGTCAAAGCATGCCAAGCAACCAAACTACCACCAAAACCCATCTAACACATTACAATTCTGCATATAACAGACAAAATTGGCAAAAGAACCTGCACAAGAGTATAGGCGTACCTAGGGAAGGGCTTATACTGAAAATTCAAAAGAAAATAAATAGTTGAAGATCGAAAAAGAAAAGTGGTGAAAAGAACAATTTACCAGACAAGTGAAAAAGCAAAAGAATGTAAGCAGAGTTAGAAACAAGAGCAAATGACTTGGTTTCTGCTTATGCTGATTGATGGTGGAGAAAAACAAAAGTAAAATTGTTCCATAGATCACTCTCAAGCTACAACGGAAACCAAGGCTATCTAATATTCAGCAGGCTGTCATTTATGATGAGAAACAAACCCTAAACCTAACATAAGCAAGCAAGCCCCACAAATGAACAACAAAACAAAAGAATTCCTACCAGAATACTTCACCGGGCCAGGTGACCCCTGTCATCATGCAGCCATGGTACCAACTCCACGTGCATGTCACTGCTTAATGAAAGCATGTCCTCTTTGCTGCCATATAATACCAGAAATCCTAGTAGGTGTGGATCATATATGGCGTAAATGCCATTCTAGAAGTCTGTAATTTGAGCACCTTAGTTACCAAATTCTAATGAATATCCATCATACTCTTAGAAAATAGGGAACAAATAAAAAACACAAATCTGGCAAACATGAATATCCACCATGTAAGCTTACAAGACAGTAAACCCAACAGCTATGAGTATCGCAGTCACTCCTGTTTGTGGTGACCTCAGCATGTACTCATCGACCAACACATCTTCCTTCCTTCACCACCTCTATTTGCATTTGCATTCATTGTGATTCTTAGAAAAAGACTCTTAAATATTGGACAAAACATTTCCTGGTTTCCATTGCCTAATATTGTCCAAAACTTGTCAAAACCCTGCTGCTTAAAAGTCCTGCAAACTGTGTCCTCTCTTTTCCAGTTCCTGAATATCATCAGTAGATGATTGAGCAAAAATGATAAGTATTTCTGAACATTATTCAATTTACTCTAATTGTGTGACCAACATCCACTATAGACTTTATTGCTCTCTATAGTCCATTGCGCCTCAATAACAGAAGCTATTTCTCTTTACCATCTACATGTCACCAGTCTTAACCACTAGATTACTTATAGTAGTTTTGTTATCATTCATATAATTCATTGCTAACCCATACCCCTAGTAGGTGGAACTGCCTGAAGTCAAGACTAGTCTAGAGCTAAAAAACAAGCATCCGTTATGGTTTCGGAATAAGAAAGAAGAGCTTCCAAGTCGACTCCCGCTTGTACAAAACCATATAAAAGTTAACAAGATTTTAAGCAGGCCAAACCATTCTCAGAAACTCAACCACAAACGCAGGTAAGAAGAATTTTAATCAAATATTTCTTTCTCAATAGATTAAAAGTAAAAGAAAGAGAAAGAAAACCACAAATATATTACTCAGTCATACACAGTAAACATAAGAGTTCTAAGTCAGATAAAAGCAATAGAAAGAGAGAAATGCGCAATATATTACTCCAACAGAAATATTGCTAAGTAGAAATAATAGAGTAGATCATTTATTTGTGCCTGAATCAGAATGTGCCATTAAACTATCAACTATCACATGTTAACTAATGGTGAAAAAAAACAAAACAAAAAACACTGATGCATTTGAACACTCACAAAAGAAACTTGTTTAAAAATTTAATTCTACAGAAATTCATATACAAATCACAACGGTATAGAAATAATATCTTCATTTGTGGGGCTCTGTACCCTCCCTTTCTATCAGCGAGGGTGCAGGTGGGGTCATAGTTTCATCCTTACCTCTTACATAAGACTCTTCTTTCACTGTGGAAAGTGGCCTATCTGGACTATAAAATCCCTTTGAAAGTCTGCTAGGACTTGGAGAACCACCAACGCTAAACTTAGTTGGGCTAGAGTAGCTTCCCAGAGGAGAATTTGGAGCAGATCTAAATTCAACCACTCCATCTTCACGAGCCAAAGGTGAAATTGGTAGCTGGCTGCCATTATCCGTTTGTTTTCTATAAAACTTTTCTTCTACAATGTCATAGGAATTCCCAGTCCTCACTTCCTGAGCAAGAGAGCACCAACAACAGCAAAGCCACAACGTACAATCAGCCAGTGCTGGTTCACCAAAACAGAAGTTATAAGAAGGCAAACTGAATCTCTTTCTCATTTGGATCCTCCAAAAGCCACCATAGAGCAAACCAAATACACAGAGAACAAGCCCAGTAACTCCAAGAGCCTCCCGAACAGTCTCATTGTCTATATTAACAGCAGCCAAATTAAAAATCCAGAAGGGAGCCATGCAAAACAGAACAAATGTCATAATGTGAACATACATGTTCCCAAATCCAAGCCTCTCCATATTCCAGCCGAACACACAAAAACCACAAAACAGTGAAAGATATGCTAGCGAAATATCATCCCAAATATCAAGTACCCCTCCACTCCATTGTGGTCTATTCTCAACGACACGCTGTTCACTCCTTGCTGCAAAAGAATATTTTCTCTCAAATGATTTTAACCTTAACCTTTCTTTTCCTTCACCGGTGCCAATCCGAACTTGTGCTTCCTCATCCACCACCTCTGAATCATAATCCTTCCCAAGGGGACTGATAATGTTGTATATACCAGCAAATGCAGGGGCACCAATAGCAAAAGTTATACATATTCCAACTCCTATGGGTGGTCGTTCAGATCTCCTGTAACCCAAGTTTAAGCCACAAAGAGCATATTGACCAAAGCAATTCAAATGAAGCAGACCAACAACCACCATCATGTGGGCCCATTCATGTGGCTTGTAAGTCCCATTTTTACAGTAAATCTTTCTAAGTCTGGAAATGTCTTCTGGTTTCCATCTACACAGAAGTACAAGGTGGTAGAACCGCTTTGGATGTTGGTACAAACACATAAGAGTAAAAAGTGCATTGAGAATTTGATTATTGACTTCAAACCATGCATCTCTTTGGGACTTCTTTGGTATTGCCTTGTTCAACATTCCAGTCATGACAAGAAACAGAATTGCACCCGAAACAGCAACACAGGTGATCCACACAAAAAGAGCCATGTTCATTGGGTTCCTAATCCATTGTTTGCTCATTTTCATGAGTGAAACCCAATCAATTTTATGGGAAAAAACCCCGTTGATTCGTTCTTTAAAACCATGAGCACTCGAAACCACAGATCTTGAGATCTCATCTCTCTCCTCAGCTATGCGCTTGAAACTTGCAGATGCAGAACCAAATTTGAGGAACCTTATTCTATTATTAGGAACAGCATCAGGGAACCTTTTTGGAGACTTTACATTGCTTAACAATGTCTTCTGAGATATGGAAACATCAAAGGGGATATGACCCTTCACTTCACTGCCATTAGATTCTTCAATTTCCTCTTTGTGGTTTCCACTATCAGTTGAAACCATTTTCAAATCAAGAACAAATTTTTCCAACCAATATCAGAGTTGTGGCATCAAGGTCCCAACGTGTACGTTTTCGTCAATATTTTCACTGAGGTTTAAAGTTGAAATCCGGGTAATACATCACATGGAATATTGAGCATAAAAGTGTTCTCGGAAAGAGGAGAAGCAAGGAATCTACAAGTAAAGAAACATTGAAACAGAAGACTTTAATCCCCGGAAGCAAACCCAAGAACCAAAACCATTAATCAAGAGTAAAATATCATATATAGAATTCGACCCAGTTGATAAAACACAAAACATGAGCATAACCTCATGTAAAGAAAAAGAGGCTGCCACAGTAGCCCTTACAAGCTAAGCATCACTATTAATTAACAACCATAATTTTACAAAGAAAAAGGTAAGCATCACACTTCAAAATCCAGAAACTGATTCAAAGAACCATCCTTCCATCAACAGAGTAGTCACAGGAACAATGGGAAAACACCCAGAACGTAAAATTTACACATTTTATTTATTTATTAAAAACGAAGATGATTGATGCCCAGATGAACATATGCAAGAAGAATTAATCAGATAAAGAATTGCAACCTTAATAGTACAGTGAAGAAATGTAAAATCTACTGTACATAAAAAAAGGCAAAGATTAAGGCATACCTAAAAAACGACGAAGAAGCATAAGAGAGTGGAAGAAGCTTTGAATTTGGGTCCGAATAGAAATTGAACACCTCTGTTGGTTGCCGTAATCAAATACCCTCCATTGAATTTGAGGTTGCTAGTCGCTAAACCGACAAACTGCTCAAGATTTTGCAAGTTACAATAAGATCAGGTAAGGTGCACTTGCAAAAGCTGGTGGCGGGGGCCCAAGAAAAAAAAGAAAACATCCAAACGGCGTCGCTTTGTGTGTCTTTGGCCTGCTACGAACTACGTCGTTTCTGCTCCTCGGGCTTGCTTGCTATTGCTGCCCTTTGATAGGGGTGAAAGCTGAAAGCTGAAAAGCATGTCTATGGAGCGATGTCATGTATTAAAAATATTCCAAGGTTGGCATCATAATCCTGGTTGAGCAGAAAAAACTTGTGTGGAAATGATTCCATTAGACGCGTGGAATGGAGCCATTGGACCCCATTGTTGTTCTGTATTTTGCGCTACCTTTTGGTGGTCAACTGGTCAATCATGTATTTCCCAACCACTTGGACACGATGGAGGAATTCACGTATTGCTGAAATTGTCATAGTCAAGCTCAGGATCTTAGCATAATCTCTCTAAGAAAATGAAACACGATTAGTTGTCTACGCGCATGCCACACACATGTTCAGTTAATTTCTGATCACCGTTGTTTGTGAGAAACGCCTTTTATCAACAATCAGAAACTACGTGTCTGCTTGCTGATGACTAATTGTAACACGAATGATGTTTCGTGATCTCAATGAATTGGCGACGGAAAAGTTTCTTGCTTACCAAGACCAACCAATGCTCATTTACTTGACAAATTGACACGAGTGTCAAAAGTTAACATAAATCCCATACATTTTAGAAGCCAAGGCAATTCATATCATGGCTGTCGAATATACATCATACATAAATCTCATCGAAGCTCATAAAAAGTCGAAAACACTCTGATTAAAAATAAAAAAAAATCCAAAAACAACTACAATTTAGTACCCGTACATTGCCAATCAAGTGTAACGAAATTACAAACCCATGATAATAAAATTCAATCTTCAAGAACAAATGGAGAGCCACACAACATTTCATAACTTTCGAACTTAGGTAAGATCATCCTCCTCCAGTTCCTTGGATTTCAGCTTTTCCTTCACTCTCAGCAGTAGGGTTGTCTTCCATGAATCCTACACATAAATTCACACAGAACATCGTAATAAGAATGCGTCATTTCAACATTGGATTGAAAATGTTATAAGCTGAAGGAAACGCAAATAATGAAAATAGGTTTCTAATGGAACCATAGTATCACATTTGAAGAAACATACCAGTGGGGTCATACTATCAAATTCCTTAACCACATCAGTGAACTTGGCAACGTCTTCCTCATCAACCGATGCTGCAATATCCTGCCACAAAACAAAAGATTTCTTCATGACAATGACTTCCTCAAAATAGCAATCTTGTTTGGTGATCGAATTACTACTTTCAAACAAAATAATCTGAACTGAAATTCTTCCAATATCAGAGTAACTCACCGCTAAGAACCTGTACTCCCTTGTTCCTGAAAAAGTAGGATCTAATTCCTGCATAAGTGCAAACATTATGTAAGTATGCCAACTGATACGGTACAATATCAAAATCCTAAACAAGAGCAAAATTTAGACCTGATATCGCTCTAATGCATTGGTGATTGCAACAGAATCTCCTTTACAAAGTTGGCATATTCCAGCATTAAGAAGATGCCCTTTAACTCCATACTTGAGCAGGTTATTGTTGAGTGAGTGCCGAGCAATTTCTTCATAGATTTCAATAGACTTGGGATACCTGCAGAGTAAAACACACTTTTCACTTATTTTCCCACATTTGCATCAATGAGAAGCAATAAGTATGTCTCCTAAATAAACTGAAAATAGGTTACAGCATTGTATGATTATTCATTTTAAACTAGAACAAGGTTCTAATCAAATTTTTTAATTATAAAAAAAAACTAAGCAATGCTGGAAAAGTAGTAAGAATACACACAAAATGCCATTTAAAGTAGAACAAGTTTCTAATTAAATAAGAATCACCAAGTAAAGCAGGAAAATGGCAAGAATACACACAAAATGTTTGTGCTATCGAGTGCTGGGTAGACAGACTTACTGTTCAATCTGTGCAGCAAATTGAGCAACTTTCTGTTTGCACTGATTGGCCGAAGTTGTTACTTCTTCATTTTGGAAGAAATCAGCTGCCCTTTCAAAGAACTCAATAGCCTTCTCAATGTTTTGTTCAGATTCATATAGTTCGGCAATTTCCTGCAAAGGAAAAAATGTATCCCATGTTACAGAATGACATTTATGGTTTCCATAACATCATAAACTACAGACGTATTCTGCAGAAAAGCATCAAGGCCCATACAAGTCCCCATCTTCTATTCTTTTCTATTACATACTTTATCTCCTATTAAGTTATTTCAATCATTTTGTATTAATTCATCCCATGTTAGTCTTTAACAACTTCTTGATATTCTACCTTCTATTTTAATTAAGCCTCATTTGGTTTTGGGTGAATTTAGCAGTCTAGATTGTATTACTCTATCTAGAACTAGCTTCTCTAACTGTTAGAGCAAACAAAGTTAGAATGGAAAAGGGAACTGCACACCATTGCAAGCAAAAATTTAAAATACCATCTCAAAACAAAAGATGGATTTCCATAAAGCTGTGAAAACAATACCTTATAATATCTTGCAGCCATATTAAGCCTTCCAATATCACACAGTAAATTTACAGCCTGCTCTAAGCAAGAAATGGCCTCTGCAGAAGACAAGAATTAAGATTATACTATTCATAAGTAGATAATTGAAAATGGAAACGCAAGCAACAATGGTTTAAAACTATAGCATGCCCAAACTATATAAATTCCATCTCACCAAAGTAGTAGTAGTAGTACCATATAATAACGAGATGAACAAAAGGGAAAGTACTTACACTAACCAACTATTCTACCCAAGTAGCTTAGTTTGATTTAAACTGTTTCAAAAGCCATGACCCAGCTAACACGGCTGAAGTTCCTTTTAGCCTAACAAGGGATAACCAAAATATCTATGACTTATGGTGCAAATGGAATTAACCATGCCAATTTTGTATTTCTAATAAAAACAATTTCATTTCAGATGACTTTTTCAAAATGTCTGATTCCAGACTGAAGCTTTGTATATGTGAGCCATCTCCTTTTGCAAAACTGAAAGCCTGAGCAAACAGGTAGGCTCATATTCTTGATTTTCCGGATGATTATTTCCCCTTCCAGGACTTTGTGGGCTGTGGGGAAGCATCATAAATGTAAGATGTAACATAATACAATACACATACATACCATTTACAGATGATTTCTTGTAGCAATGTGCAGCATCAACATAAGCTGTGGCTGCTTCATGTTTGCTGTCAGACTATAATGGAAAAGCATCACTATCTTGTTTTGTTAAAAACAATTAAAGTAAAAGAAATTGCCTAGTCCTAAACATCAAAATCAGTGACCTTCAAATGACAGTTTGCCAACTTGACATATGTTGCTCCAGCTTTGTCCCCTGAAATACCATATTGCAAATATTAAAAAGCAATTAAAGTGGCCAGAGAAAAAAATTCAGTATCAAACAACTCAGTGATACTGTAATTGAAATAACCACCACAAGACCAAAATGATATGAGGTTTCTTCTCTTCTCTGGCAGGAACACCACATAAAGCTTTATATTCAAGCTATTAACAAAAAAAAGTTTGCAGCTTTCAAACTTCAATCTATTTAAACAACCCAATCCAACTTTCAAGCATCATTTCCAAAATCAAATCCATCCCGTTTTACACCAATAAGCAAATTCATCAGAGCGCCATGCCACTCAATTAAAGACTATCCATTTTCCATATTATTCAATTCAAGAACTCCAATTCAAACCAAATTCAAGCCTTTCCATAAAAAGGAGATCGAAACAAACCCTAAAAGGTCAAAAAGAACATAATTTGTTTATCAGATCTAAAATATGAAACACTAATCATCCAACGGAGAAAAAAAAAATAGCAGGAAAATCCACTCTCATTAAATCAAGACACACATTTGTGATCAAAACCCACGCTTGGGTAAATGCAATCGCCCCAAGGCTATAGACATCAATAACCCCCACTAGGAGATCCCCAATTATTCATCTAGCTGTGATTATCATTCCAATTACATTTTCTCGGCAAGCAAACAGACCGATAAGGAAAATGACAGAGAAAATAGCCGATCGCGAAAAAATAAAGGAAGGAGAAGGGGGAAAACTCACAGGATTTGCCGAGCTTGTAAGAATTGGCAGATTTATCGAAGAGTTCTGCGGCGTCTTCATGTTTGGAACCGAAAAATCCCCAGCTACTCAGTTTCTTCTCTGCTTTCTTTTCGAAATCCTCCGCCCTAGCAATCTGATCACCCATTCTCTTCAATCTTTCCTTTTTTCTTTTTAAAATTTGATTTCTGAGTTTCTGAGCCGCAGAAATGAAGGCTAATAAGTGAGAAGGAAAAACAGAGGTCGCGACGGGAATTAATATTGTCAAGCAAAGTTCTCGAAATTTCAAGGAAGGCGAGCCTGGTCACGTAACACGTTAGCCGAGGATTTTTCTCATTAATCTTAACTTTATGATTAATCTCAAATATCTCGACTTTACTTTAATTATTTTCTGCCAATCTCGTATTTTAAGCGATTTATTTCAAAATACCAACTAAATGGAAAAACTTAACCAAAAAAAAAAAACTTGAGTTATGTAACATTGTTGAATGGGTCACTTGACTAGGTACGCCTTGAAATTTAATTTCACACCTAGCTACTCATTTATCATTGTAACAAAACCATCATTGAGAATTCAATTTTTCATTATTCTCCAAGCCAAAGGAGACATGCTAGACAATTCAAGTTTTCATTATTTTCCAATGTAACAAAACTATTATAAGAAAAGTTATGACAAAAGACAATGATGATGCACACGCTGAAGTTATCTATCGTCTCTTAAATGTAATTGTGTAAAAAGGTATGGTAGAGAGAACTTATGTTGGCCTTATAATAGTGTGAAAGAACTAAAACCCACTCTAAAAAAAATATGGAAAACTCTCTCAAAACTAAACAAAAACTAAGCAACTAAGAGAACTAACTAGGAAAGCAATTCATCTTTAATTAGGAAAACAAAACAGCTAACTTGCACTCGTGTTTTGGAGTCGTTTTACCTTCTAAAAAAATATAAAAAATATGGAAAATGTAGCTCTATCTCTTAGATTTCCATATATATATATATATCATAAGTCACTTGGAAAAATTGAGATAGTCTTAAAATCTTCGATAAAAATACCAACTAAATTGAAAAATAATAATTAATGAGGAAAAACTTGAGTTATGTAACATTGTTGAATGGGTCAATTGGCTTGGTACACCTTTAAATTTAATTTCACACCTAGCTACTCATTTATCATTGTAACAAACACCATCATTGGAGAATTGTCTAGCATATCTTTCCTTTAGCATTGTAAAAAATGAAAACTCGAATTACTTTAGCATATTCTTAGAACATTCCTGAAGTAATCAAAATATTGTGTGTTGTCCCTTTTGTTTGTGACATATTTGGGTTTAGCAATCAAACCCAAATTTGAATGGAGAATGAAGGCCCAACTCAAACAGTTTTCTTTTTGAGAAGATATTGGGCTCTCCAACAACTTGAAGGTCCATAGTGGGTTAAACCAAACCAAAGCTTCGGAATATATGCCCATCTTCTTTGAGTTTTTCTTTTTAAATCCCACACTTTTCTTTGTTAACCTCAATACTTAAATCATTAAGCTTTTAAGTTTTATTATAATGTAAAAAGACAAAAAAGTCATACAACTTAATACTTAATTCTAATACATCTACACACCCCACTACTCTTCATATTAAGTTATAGAAAAACACAAAAACATAAACTCCTCTACACCTTATTGCCAAATTACTCTTTTCTTTCAATCCAATAAATCTACTACACTCTCATTTTTTCTTCACAAACCCTAAATACGGTATGCAAACAGTTGCTTGTAGGTCATCAATTGAGTTTGACAACAATGTTTTTATCTCTTTAAGTAATGTGAGATTGATATGAACTTAGAGTTGTGAGGGGCAGGATAGCGGGGTGTGGGGTGTGAGTTGATGAGTTTTTCAATTTTTTAATTTTTTTTCTTCTGTTGGATGTGTATTTAAGGGTAGTTTGGGAAGATAGTTGGGTTTTATTAGAAATTGTGAAAATTTGAATTAGAAATTGGAGTGAACTTAGAATATGGGGTGAATAAAGAGAAGTGCGGGGTTTAAATAGAAAAACTCTCTTCTTTTTGCAGGAATGATAATTATGCTATTATGGTGTGTTTACTAATCAGGAATTGAATTCCACCTATGGAGTATTCTTGCGTTTACTTCACATCCAAGAATTGAAAAGTAAATGGGGCCCATACAAAATTAGAAATTGAATTCCTGATTTTGGAGGATTTCCTAAGTGGAAGGTAGTATTCTAATTTATGGAGAACTAACCTATTATGAATTCATCTTTTTTACCCATTATATCCTCACACAATTTTCAAAATTCCAAATTTGCCATCTACTTTAACCTAACAACGAGGACATTTTAGTAATTAGGATCACTCCTACCCTAATTCCATAAGGTCTAGTAAACAACTTCAATAGGAATCCGGAAATCAAACTCTCCTTAATCCATATTGTTTAGTAAACACCTTCAATAGAAATCCGGAATCTAATTCTCCTCAATCCAACCTCTCCTCAATTCAATTCATCCTCAATTCAATTCCTCATAATCCAATTACAGATCAGTAAACATGCCAGACTAACCAATGATAAGCACACCAAATATTTATTGTAGCCTCAAAGCATCCCCAGAATCACGTAGCTGCTATCAGCTATAGCTCCCAAAAAAGAGTCAAAGGAGATGGTGAAGCAGGAAAACAGTGATGAGGCTGAAGCAGTTGCTCATCCACTCTTGCAGGACCTCAAGTCCTTGGAAGGTCAAAACTCATCATCATCAGAAAAAGTAGCTTCATTTTCTGGGGCTGTCTTCAACATCTCAACCACAATGATTGGAGCTGGGATCATGTCAATTCCAGCAAACCATCAAGGTCCTAGGCATAGTTCCTGGGTTCATTCTCATATTGTTGGTGGCCTTGGTTGTGGAGGTCACACTGGAGTTCTTGCTCAGGTACACAAACTCAGGCGAGTCTTCTACCTATGCTGGCATGCTGGGTGAGTCTTTTGGACCCTGGGGTTCCATTGCTGTGCAAATTTGTGCCATCATCACCAACCTTGGCAGCCTCATCATTTATTTCATTATCATTGGTAAGCTTAATTGGATCATCTCTTAACAATTGTGTTAGATTTCTAAATTTGCTCAACTGTCATTCAAATTTGTTGATAAGATAAAAATCCCATTTCTTTTTTGGGGAAAAAACCTTAGTTTGATGATGGATTGTTATGTTATCCATCAACATAGCATGTGTCATATAAAACAAGAAAAGACCCACCGGGCCATTCTGTCTTATAATGGATGCTTGGTGTCTGATAGGGACATGTTTATGACAAAGTCACAAAGTAAAAGCAAAGAATCAATGATGGATTGTTTTTGTGTAGAAGCTTTCTCTACTTTAAAGATAACCATTTTGTTATTCTGTTTATTACACTTAATCTATGTGATAATGTGGCATACCGAGGTAATTACACTAGTGAAAGAAGTTTTCTTACCTTGGTTTAGGGGATGTTCTATGTGGAAGTCAGTCTGGAGGAACCTTGCACTTGGGTATTTTACAAGAATGGTTTGGCATCCACTGGTGGAATTCTCGTGCTTATGCGATTCTCTTCATTGCACTCTTTGTGATGCTTCCATTAGTCTTGTTACGCCGAGTAGGTCAGTATGTAAATATCAAACAACCAAAAGAACATGTTAAATTGTTAAGTATATACTGGGATTTACCAACAGAGTGCTTGTTGCTTAATTACAGATTCACTAAGTGCCCGTTTGGTATTGCTTATTTAGGGTGATAATTGATTTTAAAAAAATTTTGAGAAGCCCAACCCGTTTGGTAAACTATGAGAAAAACACTTATTGTTAAAAATTGCTGTGAGAGAAAGCTATCTGGGAAAGCAGCTAATAAGGTGCTTTCATTTTCTGATTATACAGAAATCAGTTTCAAAGAGGCGTTGGATTTAATGATTATGCAGCAATTTTTTTATTATTATATGGGAATCCATACCAACAACACTTCTAACAAAAAGTTTACCAAACGCTAAACTGTATTCTCTCACAGCTGATTTCTCTCGCAGCAAATTTGACAGCGATTATTTTCACAGCACAGCAATGCCAAACTGGCCCTAAGGCACACTTCAGCAGTGTCCATTCTGCTAGCAGTGGTTTTTGTTGTCATATGTTCTGCAATGGCAATTTTCGCATTGTGCAAAGGGAAGACTCAGAAACCGAGACTATTTCCGGATTTTGCACATCAAGTCTCAGTATTTGATCTTTTCACCACCATCCCAATTCTTGTGACAGGTTTTGGATTCCATGTCAATAGTGAGGGCACATCATTTTTGGTCTTGTGGTATCTGGATTATGTTACACAACTAAATTTCTGATAGCTAATATATGGCAACTGTGTGAATGAATGCAGTTCATCCAATTAGAGCAGAGCTTGGTAAACCTTCTGATATGAGATCAGCTGCTCGGATTTCTCTTGTGATCAGCATCATCATTTACTTTTCTATCGGTTTCTTTGGCTACCTATTGTTTGGCGATTCGGTAATGGATGACATACTTGTAAACTTTGATCAAGGTTCTGATTCCACAATTGGGCAGATAATCAATGACATTGTTCGACTGAGCTATGCAGTTCACCTCTTGTTTGTGTTTCCTATTATGAACTTTTCCTTAAGGGCCAACATAGATGAACTGCTTTTCCCAAATAAGCCTATTTTGGCCCAAAGCACCTCAAGATTTCTGTCCCTCACTTTTGTGCTGCTCTCCTTTACATACATTGTGGCAATAGCTATCCCAAGCATATGGTACTTCTTTCAGTTCATGAGATCCACTACCATAGTTTGCCTCTCATTTATATTCCCAGCTGCTCTCATTCTTAGGTACCAAGTTCTAATCCTTTCTAAGTTACTAGTGTAGCGAGCAGCGAGCAGGTCTGGTACTTACGGTTTTACTAATCAAACCTGGTTTTTGTTTCAAACTTCTTGACAGGGATGGGCATGGTATATCAACAAGAAGGGACAAGATAATTGCAATATTGGTGATTATTTTGGCTGTGGTGACAAGCTCAATTGCAATGTCTACCACTCTGTACAATTCAGCTCAAAGCTAGCCATCATATTATTATAAACTGCTTTGCTACACTTGAAGTCAAAGAGGCCGAACTTGGCAGATTAGGCATAGGTTTTTGAAAGCCACACAATCTGCTTCAGAGTATAATACATTGTACACGTATTTGTTCTACTATTACAGACTATGGAATTCATCAAATTTGTCTTCGCTGTAATCATCTTCTGCAATAAATCTGCAGTAACTTTGAGACATCAATCTGCAAAGAATGTTCACACATACACTTGTTCTTGCCAATATAGCAAG